CATTATTATAGAATCTATAGCCAATGACTGATGTCACAGTTACCACAACAAACTTGGCACTGTAACCGGAAAGATAATGAAGAGTAGATTGCAATCTCAAATACTTAAGGACAGTTCTTTTACAAATTCTTTGCAGACAATTTTTACTTACAGAATCAGATGTTTACAATCTTTAGGTCATAAAAAACAATATATATATGCAACGGATTAACACGTCACAATTAACATTAAATTAAAAATATTTGAAAGATTAGACGTCAATACGGGCGGTTCACAATAGTACGCCACCAAGAGTTTGCAACACGTTGGCTAATCATAACGCGCAAAAATGTGTCGACCCTTCCCAAACACGCATTGGGTCGACAAATCTTNGCTTGGTCCATATAGCTGGGAGATCTCATAAAGTATGGTTTGTCACCCAGGTATAACTGCATCAGTGGTTTCCACTTTACATCATAATCTGTTGTTGCAAAAGTGACCTCTATGGATGATCCAACTCAAACACAAAACTACAAGATATCAATGGCGTAACTAAAGCGTGTGATTAAACGTGCACAGCCACAATATTTAATGTGTGTGTAACAGGGAGAAATGGCTCACTATGGGGAACTTGCAAAACAACTAAAACTCTAATTAAACCAAGGATCTTTGAGGGAAAAGTCGCAGGAAACTGAATTAATAAGAACTCAGACACCAATATTTGACTTCAACAAAAGGACGAAAAAATTTATTGATGAAACAGTACTGGAAAAATGCAAAAAACCAAAAGGAGTAAAGGACTTTAAAGGCTGAAACCAAAAGACTAAACATAGGAAGACTAAAAACCAAAACTCAACACAGTGTGTAAATGGACCTAATGAGGAGAGTTAGGCTTTCGATCTGAAAAGCCAAAAAAAGAAAAAGTTAAAAATATAAGGTAAAGGGAACAGCAAAACAAATCTTGTACATGAGCGAAAGGAAGTTAGAGCAGAATGAACTAGGGATTAAAGCATTATACAAACAAAATTGTGCACAAGCCTATGGAGCTCATTATGTATTCAAATCTCCTGGCCAGTCAATAAACTATGGACTAAGGATGTGGAAATAAAGAAAGAGAGGCATAGAAAATACTGTACATGTGGCAAAAAGAACAAAGTCAAGTAAAAAAGATATAAGAAAAACACTTCAAACAAGATATGTGGTAGACGAAAAATAAACTTGTATCCAAAAACAAGTTTTCAAGGCTCCAATAAAGCTCCATATCTCTGAACAGCAATAAATGACCTCAAGTCTTTCCAAAGAAAAAGTTAAAAGAAATCCACAAGTTAACTATCAGGAAGTAGATTGCCAAAAATGTTTAACAAAATGATAAAAAGACACAAAATGAACTCTATACAGAAATAAGAAAAGAAAAAAAGCTCACCATTGACTTCTAGCAGAAAAGGGCTTAAGCAGAAAACCACACTCTAGTTAGGAGGAAAAATACATGTGAAGTTGACTGGTCTCTGCTGATCTGCTACACTGAGCGTGGCCAGACCATGTACGTACACTATAAAAGGGGAAGCTGGGGCTTCAACGAATAAACAGGGGGGACACTAACAGAAAATACAGGGAACTCTAAACAAAAACTGTATTTTTAAACTGGGAACTACTCCTATGAAAAGACGCTTACAAAAAGTAAAACAAATTCCTAGCTTTGCCAAATGTGCAACCAGAGAAAGTTTATCCAAGGACTGTACACAAAATAAATGAATTTGCAATTTGCAAATGATCGATCTTTGCTTGACCGAACTCCGGTCACAAATGATTATCAATTGGCAATAGCAATGCAGTTCACTGCGATAAATGCTGGATCCTGTCATGCAGGTCCTCTATATCTTTGTACACTTGGTGGTGCTTTAATCGATATAGCTCAGCTAGCTCACACTCCGCTCATCACAAAACCCTAGCACAGTGCCCTCAGTCGTCTCTACGACGCAAGTTCAAGGCTTGGCTCTGGCGACATCCACCCCAAATAGTAGTCTCCAAACCAGGCTTCCCCCTCATTAAGGGTCAGGAACTTCGTGCATGATGATATAATTTGCCATCTAATTTCCTAAGAAAGATTTGCCAAAATACAAACCAAAGCATACTAAAAGTGCTAAAATGCATTACCATCTTCTACAAGGCAAAATCTCTGACAAAATACACAATACACAATCACAATTTGTTGAACATTTCCGGAGAATGCCGTCGATCACTGGTTTCTAACACTCAGCAAAAGTATGTCCATTGATTAAATCTTAAAAAGAATAAGTCAAAAGAAACAATTAACTAATGTTTTTCTTGCTGTTTTAAATCCTGGATTGCTGATCTAGTCCGCTCTTGGGTTTGCTTAACCAAATTGCCTTAAACAGTTCTATAAATGTCTGCTTCTGGTGCAACAAAGGGCAGCAAAGGGCTTAATGTGCGTGGCTCTGGCAGTCCACAAGCTACATGTCATCACGACAATCAGCAAAACTGCTCTCCTCCTACACACCCAAAACTAGCAAATCAAGTGACATTGTATCACACTCAATACCATTCATGAAACCCCGACAACATTCGCACAAAGAAATTGGGCGCATGGAGATCAGCACCTTAGCTCATTAAACAAAGATAGGTATGCAGGTCCACGACAGAAGATGGTACGGCTGCTTCCTGGCCTGGATTGCCAAACAAAACAGCAAGCATTTAAATGTGGGCAAAGAAATCCAATGCCCAGGGAAGTGAACTGGAAAAGAAAAATTACTAGTTAATGAATATGTATGAAGTACTGCAAGCGTTTGCTCATCTAATAGCCACAGTGGTTCAGGGGAATTCTGACAACTGAGAAGTGTTCTGCAGGAGCTATACCCCACTTTATGTGATTTGGCAAGGGCAACTATCAACGGGGCTGATGTTTTAGGTTTTTTCACGTTTGTTGGTTACTGAAGCACACGTCTTTTTTTTGGGGGGGGGGATAATGGGATGGAGGCGGAGTAGGGGAGAAAGATAGGATAATGGTTGGATGGGGCGGAGTAGGAGATGGATGTGATGATGGGAAGGGGCAGTGTAGGAGATGGATGGGATGATCGATGGAGTGGAACCTTTAATAGTGCCATTTATTTTACATCCGCGCGATGTAGTCATTTATCAGCCAATTTTTCTTGACTTGCTGTTTTAAAAAAATGTGGTAAGCTTGCAATAAGTCTTTTCAAGTTAAATGTGAATAAAATTGGGTACACTGAGTTCTTTAAATTCACGTGAACATAACAATATGAATTCCCCAGACTAAAGACACTGTTGCTATACCTTGTGATTCGGGGCAAGCTTTTTCTTAGTTTCATAAGAGACGCCTTGCGACAATACACAGTTCTCAATGGAAAGGAAGAGCACAAAGGAACCAGTCCATTCCAGAGATGGTGGTCGCTAAGGTAAAGCTTGCCCCAAATTACGAGGTATAGCAACAGTGTCTTAAGTCTGGGGAATTCAAATTGTTATGTTTATATCTAATCAGACAACTCAGTGTACCAGATTTTATTCAAATTAAACTCGCAAATGGCTTATTGGTTAGTATGATTCCTTTTTTAATTTCAGCGTCATTTGTAATCTGCATAGATGACTCTTAATATGAGCATGGAGCTAATTTTGAAAAATGTGTTTAGTAGTTCTATGGTACGAAGTTGCATTGGTCATTATGTATTTTAGATTTTCGGAAGTGAGGGGTTAATTTCTGGTGTTATGATTCTCTTTCAAGTGAGGTAGTGTTTCAGTTTCTACTAGTTGACGTGCCAGTAAAAATTTTATACATGCCCCTTTTAGTTCACAAATAATTGTAAGTTCTACTATTTTTGCACATTATATATCTTTTCCGGAAGACACATAAAACTTATTTGTGTTTTGTGCTTCGTTTTGGAGTTTGAGTGTAATTGGATGTTTTGAATTATTATTAAGCAGCTCGCCAAAGCAAATTGCTAGTCCAATAAGTCATGTGATCCTGAAATTACTCTCAATTTAATATTTCAAATTGAATTCCAAAGATCATCAATTTAATTGGAGTGTTATATATTTCCTTGAAAGCTAGAGAGGAACAGATAACACAGCTAGAGGGCTGTTTGAAAAAATGAAGTTCAATTGCTGAATTGAAATCTTTGGAAATTTATAATTTTTCAAACTAATTTTGATTTTGTGACACAGGATATTCATGAATTGGAATAAATTTGTGCCTGGATGGTCTTAAACGTTAATGAAGGCCAACGCAAGAGAATGGACGCTGATAATGTCCCTCATCTTTGGCCTGGGCTTTATCAGTGTCCATTCCCTTATTTCAAGATTTTTCAGTCACGTGATTTTTTATGGTTGGCGTTCATTTTTACCCTAAAATTAATGTCCTTTTTGGAACCAATGCATGATCAAATCAGATATTGGATCCAGGGAAGGTAAAATTGGTATTTTTCTGAAAACAAATGAAGAATCCGGGTAGGGTTCTGTTACCATTTCTGAAGTGTTGGTGCTTTCAATTCCTTATTTGAAAAAGGGAAAAAACGATGTCAGGCGAGGGTCTCCCTCGCAGCCATGTATTGATGATGGTCGGATAACATTATCATCCTATTTTGTATTTTTTTTTAAATAAAACTGCTAGGGCTGCATTGAGCAGACGTCTAGATTAAGGCCTGTCAATCATTTCACTCTTAATACATTATCAACTTGCAAATTGTTTTTGCAGTTAAAACATGATTTGGCACATTGGTAATAATAAGAAAAGGTAATTAATCTATATAACACATATTTTATTTAAAATATATATATTTAAATTTGCTTTCCATGAAAAGACATAGAATGATAAATCGATACAATAATCCAATATTGTTGCAAGCCTGCATAAATTTTGCTACACTTTCTGATTTCATTTAAAAAAACGACTGCTCGATTTAATCAGGCAACTGTAGCTTTAATTGGGCTGCAAAAATGGCCAATGGTTATTTTTGTGCTGATGCATATTCTCATTCATTTTAACTCCCTCCTGCATTTTAATACTGTCCCAAATATGTTAACTCCGTCTACAATTCCACTCAACATCACTGTGACGATCGTATCTGATGTCATTTTGAGCATTCGTGTTGGCATGTTTATGAGCAGTGACGACGGCTGGTTATGGTCCGAAGGTCTGTGCCTCGGAGGAGGAATATCTTGTGGGTGGATTGAGAGGAATGAAAATATAGCAAGCTAGAATAAATCAGGCAGGTGCCCTACGTGTACGTGCACAAGGACTACTGAATACACTTCAAGTGTCAGCTGCTTTTGTGTGGAAGTTTAGCCATTGATCTCACGTCGTGCCATGCGCGGCGCGAGAGAGGTAGTGTGAAATGAGCCGACTTTGCCTCACTCGTCTCTCCATCCACTCTCGTTCATGATCACGAAGGCCAAACGATTCAGGCAGACACCTTTACTATAAAAGAGTGTCTGCCTAGGGATAACATCAGTGGACCTGTCCGTGTTCTTGGTGATATGTGAATGATTTCACCACATTAGTCAGACAGGATGATGGTGTGAGGTACATGCACGAAATGCACGCGGGAAGACTCAAGATGAACGCAGGGCATTATGTAGCCTGAACCACACAACGCGGAGGAGGCCGGTGAATTATGCGTCTGTCTTCGCTGATGTTTATCATTTTCCTAGCCATATTTTGTTCGCCAGCTACCGCTACATACCGCATCAGTAAGTTCGTCTTTCCATTATTGCCTTCCGAGTTCCCCTCCGTCAAGGCCTCTCATTACTCAGAGAGTAATCTTTCCTACCTTGTAGCCATTAGAGCCCGCCTATGCACCATTCATGTTTAATGGAAACCCGTGTTGCTGTCCCGCAACTCGATTCCCGCTAATGTAATTCGTCGAATTAAGGGATCTACATTTGTCGTATGCGCATCGTGTTTAGTGACCTGTGGATGCTGTAGCTGCAATTGCTAACTTACGTTCTGTGCCACGGGCTCTACGGCGGTAGAATGTCTCCGTCACATTATCTGAAAATGGTCGTCAGGATAATAACACAGTAAAAAAGACGACAGCCTGAATCAATCTAGTCACGGGTGAACAGTTCTGCAGTCATGACAAATGAATGGTCATTACTGGGAATTTTTTTATTCAAAGTAGTGTTTTAAGATATAGCTTTATATACTGAATCGAACTTTGATGCGAGAGCAGCCTGAAAACGCATACAAATACCCTAAAACATTTATTCTATGTTCGTGTTTTGGTTACGACGCAAAGACTTCTTGGTCAGATAAGACAGTCTTTTCATGACTGTGATACAAATGCTAACTTTCTCACGACATGTAAACATTTCAAAGTGATAGTCATTTTCAGTGTTGGTTGAATGATTATACCAAACTTCTATTGTCTAGTGAGAAACATCTTTCCCTTCTTGAGAGGACAATAATCCGTTAAAATGACATAATTATCCTCCATACGGCATTTCCACAGTTACAGCTATTAAACCACTCTTTAAAATTCACGCCTTTCAAGTTTCAAAAAGGAATTCGGAAAAAGAAAAGAATTTGTTTAATTTTGCTAAAGTTGACTGCGTTTGGAGCAATCAGTAACCCCTCCAAGTTTGTCAAATTTTCTGCAATGCAACGAAGACATCTGCGAGACACCTGCATGGCCATATCAACAACGATACCACTGTGTTGCACGTAAAACATATATAATACATGTTCATGCATTACACTTTAGCACACATCGTTGGGGCGGAGACCTCGAATGCAGCACGATCAGTCGCATAAAGCAGCCATTTTAAGTTGTGCTATTCATTAATTTATGTATTGATGTATTGCTGAATACACTACAACGAAAACATTAATAACTCTGTGAAGAATATACATTAAACACAATTTCGTCCCAATGAAGATTACGGTGCATACGCAATGCACTGTCCTCTTTAAATGCGTGATTTTAGTTACTTGACTGTATAGGTAATGTGATAATAAAGTACTCCACATGCTTCCGAAACACAAAAAGTCTGGACGGATCCGGAAATTTCTTTAGGGGAGGGTCATACCCCCTACGTTCCGACTATTACAGACATGTTGACGCGGTCGTCCTCTACATAATACGCTTGGCAAATGCCAAGCATAAAAATGCATCATCAAAAAGAACAAAGAATGGCTACTGGGGAAAATTACCCTGATATTTCAGATCTCTGCCGTGAAATAGCGAAAGCTTCAATTAATTTCCTGATAAAATAAGAAGGCAAGCGAAACTTTAATCTTCCTTGAAAGGGATTTAGACAGACAATCATGTGTTTAAAATTTTGTGTGTGTGTTTTTCGTCGTTTTACTTTTCTCTCAACATGTAATTCTGCTTGCTTTAAATCTGAAATTGACCAAATTCTAGAGGCTTTGCTGGCCGTGACGTCGTATTAAGACACAAGAAATAGGTAATTAGATGTCAGTACATTTGATTGATGTGAGCATCATTGTTGTTGTACAGTCTCTCCAAAAAACGTTTATGTGTGTGATAGTAAATTTGCCTAATATGAAGATTTTAACTTTACTGAGACTAGAGATGTCCCGTACAAAGCTGTATTAAGTACATATTGGATACGCTCTCACTTCTAACTTCTCTGTCACTTCCGTCTCGTCGGACATCAACGCGTTCGTCTTATAACCCAAAAGTATTTATCCCACACGTACATCTTGTAACTCGTACTTCACGTTTACTTGGGTCGTAACCCGTACGAAGGCGTATGGGTTGTTTGAAGAGAAGGCCATGCCTCTATTGACAGTTATATATTTATACCTGGATACATTTTGGACATAATAGGCAGTGGAATGCATTGCGGAAACATTGAATGTCATCAGTTTATATTTCTGTGAATTGACCGCATTATCAAAAGATCAGGCGTTTGAAATATTATCGGGTTAAAATTCAAGGCGTTTCACACCTGGGTAATAAAATGACCATAGTACGTACAAAGACTGTTATGTTGACGGCTACTGCCCAAATGGAGGAACTTTTGTGTGCCAGTTTCTCAGTGATTTTCATGAAGTGATGATCCAGCTGCATTCTGCTGTGTATGTTAGGCTATATTTTCCCGATCGTCTGCTCGAAAAACTAAATTAAAATAATGCTCTTTCAAGTTAAAATAAACGACAACGTGCGTAAAGTCGACTGAAATCTGTTTTTTACTGCAGTTATTATCGTAGGAAAAATCGCACTGGGCTTTCACAGAGGTTATGCGGTAACATGTCCTCGGAGGGCAAGAGCTTTGTATCGCTGGGATAGGCTCGAGTAAACCTTTGGTGCATTCGTTGTAACTAAATTAAAATAACAAAAGCTGTCTCCAAGACACAATGGAGGTGCTTGCCACGCATAACCTCATATTCCCAAGGGCTCCTCGATCATTATCATCTATGATTAGACTTTCAACTGGCGACATTACAAACGGCAAATGTCTGTGATACAAAATCGGAGAGGGCACCGAACATTTCGCATTTAATTTCTTCCTCTCTTTGACTATCACGAGATGCTTCCTGCGCGCATCGTCTGACGTGCAAATGGATGAGATCCGATGTGCTGTATAACTGCTAGCATCATATGGGGTTTCTTAGGGGCCTATGCAGGGGGGTTGTTTGCGCTTGGCCTGCATGTATCTTTTTTACATAAATCTGATCTGTGTACCTTGAATGCTAAAATGTGTTTGGACCTGTAGTGTGCCTCGAAAGGGTAAGTTCAAATCAAATAACGTTGATGTCATGGACCTGTCAGACCTGTTGTGAAGAGTACGATAAGCCATTGCGTATCTGTGCGTTTTAGTACAACAAAGGTAATTTACCAAGAGTGTTGTGTCAGTTCGCTATATTTACTCATTTATTTACTGAAATCATCAAAGACAATAATTTCATATCCACTTGGTTCAGTTTAAGTTCCCATTGCAAGAAAGCTTTTTTCTCTGAGTCATGTCACTACAGGATTTCGGTCTTTTACAGACATCAGAGTTTTCTTCTTTTGGCGCCAAAATCCCCAGAGTGGTGCATCGGACAGTGTCATAATGAGGAAATTGTTTCCGAGATATAATGTTTTTGGAAGTCTTAAAGCTGCTGTATTTGGTAATACAGCTGCTGTATTTGGTTATATATCCACTGTTGAAGAAATAAATTCGTCATTTAAAACTCTATGTACTAGAAATTGTTTAATCATTGTACAGTATTTTAAACGACGTTATGAAAAGTTAAGAAATGTTTTATGTCACTATCACTGAAAGGCATCAGTTGAACATTGAACATTGGATAAACTGGGGTAATGAGAAAAGATTGTGACATGAAATGAAGTTATTTTATTATTTATGTGCTCAATTGGAGTACAATGGGCTACCTTTTTACATTTCTGAAAATGATAATTTTTAATTTGAACTCCGCCTAAATCATATACTGCTATATTCTGCATGGTCTCCGCATACTTCTCTTCTAGGACCACTGACTCAGACCATGCTGAACGTTCGGAATGCCAAGCTTCCTGCTCTGATGTCTGTAGAGAGCATTCACGCAGTTTTTCTCGTTTAGACGTGTCATTCAGATATTATAATCTAAATTCATGAGTCGGTGTCTTTTTGTCTCTCTCGAGTCCTACAAATGGGAATTGGCAACTGATTAAAAACAAAAACTAACAAACAGCCAAACAAAAGATGAACCAAAACAAAACAACCTGCATTCCATGCACTGAACAAACTAAGCAAACAAACAAACAAACAAACAAACAAACAAACAAACAAACAAACAAACAAACAAACAAATAACCCGTGCAACACCAAGAATGTCTTTATCCAAACCCGTGCTCCTTAAATTGTTCTCGTAATACATATTTTTCAATAGCACTTTATTTACATTGGCAACAGTTAACGACAGGAAACTTGGCAGCTAGTTTATCGATCCAGGCAAATTTGTTGCATTACCAGCCTTGGACAGCCTCGGTGTTGTATATTTACCCTGTTGAAAATAGGGCGCGTCACGTTGATAGATAGCCCTAGCAAAAGAATATAGAGGGCGCTGTATCTACCTTAAAGGGCAACCCGAACGGTGGAAGAAAGTAAGAAATCTGGCCGTAATATGTTTACTTTGATCCCATTATAGGCATCTATGCCACATAAACCCGGATTCAGCAATGTCTTTCGTTGCAAAAAAGTCACTTTTGAGACCTGCTTCTGCCAAGCGCCATGGCTAGCTTTCGTGAAAGGAGCGAGTCGTCATCGCTTCATTTACATCTCATGAATACGGCTTTTCCAGGATTCTGTCGACGTAGCACCGTGGAAACAGTTCTCCGGCTACTGCATGTACGCACTAAGCGGGCGCGGTCACGTCAATGCACATAATTTCACATAGTATGGGAACACGTGTGTAGTTACAGTTACACAGTGTCCCAAGTAAGACGCGCAGAGCCTTACCGCTCCGGGATACTCCTTACCGCGGAGCACCGACGGGATCCCGATCGGGCTGACGATGGGGCCACCGCTGGTGAACGAGGCGGTGAAGTAGACCAAGCTCGTTTGATAAATATTGCCTGGTAATTTCAGAGTGAAGGACAGTTGTCTTCAATGTTTTGTATGTTATTATTTTATTCCGAAAAAAAGTGTCAGGCCAGGCTGGCAGCTCAGGTGTGCAGGCCTTTGTACGCAAACATATCCACTAAACTAGGTCCTGCAAGGTCATGACGTTTTTCGTTTTC